AAGCCTATTGCTGAATAACTTGAGGATTTCACTATTCAATGCTTTAGTATTTTTTAAAAGCACGGTTTTGGTAGGTGGCTCGCTAGTTGTCAACTAATGGTCCCTATGCCCCAGCTACTCAAGGATTACAATGAGTCTGCCTAGTTGACTCTTTTAAACTTTTTTTCTTGAGACAGGATTTCTCTGTGTAGCTTTGTAGACCAGGCTGGCCTCAAACTCAGCATGCTTGTAGTCACTGACAGGAGAGGTAATTATGTAGCAATTTTCCTTAAAAGGGGTTTCAAATAGCTGGGCAATGGCAGCCCACGCCTTTAATCCCAGCACTTGGGAGGCAAAGGCAGGTGAATTTCTGAGTTTGGGGCCAGCCTGGTCTACAGGAGCTAGTTCCAGGACAGCTACACAAAGAAACCATGTCTCAAAATAAATAAATAAAAAAACAACAACAACAAGCTTTCAAAACCAGACCAACTTAAAAAGGGTTATTTCTATATGGTTTGAGAAAGATTTGGCAAATAGTGTGGATAGGGAATTATTGATGATGTCTGCCACATTGTAAAGACAGAATAATTATCTTCTCCAGTTTAGGTTGGTTTTCTACATCTCTGCAGCTGCCAAAAGATGAGTCAGCTACACTTAATACAGTCATCAGGAACAACCAGAAAATTAGGAGTTGTTTAATCTCATGTCATTACATTATTTGAACTGCAATTCATTCCACAGGTTTAGATGACAATTCAGGTGGTTGTCAAAGACACAAACAAGTTTCTTTTTTTTTCGTTTTTCGAGACAGGGTTTCTCTGTGTAGCTTTGGAGCCTATCCTGGCACTCACTTTGGAGACCAGGCTGGCTTCGAACTCAGAGATTCGCATGCCTCTGCCTCCCGAGTGCTGGGATTAAAGGCATGAGCCACCAACAAGTTTCTTAGTGCCCAGGTCTTAAAAGTATCTTGGGCATGCTATGCGAAGTTGTTTTTATTTTTTTAAGACAGGGTTTCTCTATGTAGTTTTGGAGGCTGTCCCGGAACAAGCTCTTGTAGACCAGGCTGGTCACGAACTCACAGCGATCCGCCTGCCTCTGAATCCCAAGTGCTGAGATTAAAGGTGTGTGCCACCAATGCCTGGCACTAGACCAGGGTTTGAAGACAGGTCTATGCTTACAGTCCTCAAGATTTCTTTATAGAAGAGAACAGGGCACACCCTTAATTAGATTTGAGTATAAATGAGAACTTAGATGGCAATTAGTGACTCATTTATACTCAAATCCAATTAAGAGTGCACTATGGGTTTCACTATGCTGCTGAAACTGCTCTTCTTCTGTGACTTGAGGTACTACTGAGTAGTTTGAACTACAAAGTTATAATATAGTGATATCTAACCATTTTAGACCCCTGCCTCCAATCAAATAACCAATGAGAAACTCTCATTTCTGCGTTAATCTTGGCAAAGTTGAACAAATAGAATCTGGCCTTCCTTTTGATAGGCAGCTGCACTGAAACTCAAAACAGGTCTAACTTACTTGAAGGAATGGACTCAATGCCACAAATAGAACCCCCCTTCACAAAGTTGAATCTTTCTGCTTCTGAAACATCTTCATTTGTGTTGTCTTGATCAGAGTCATGAATACTATCATCATGTAGTTGATACCATTCTCTCTCCCTCTCTCTCTATATATACACATACATACATACATACACCCTCAGGGCTGGAGAGAGATGGCTCAGAGGTTAAGAGCACTGACTGCTCTTCCAGGGGTCCTGAGTTCAATTCCCAGCAACCACATGGTGCCCTCTTCTGGTGTGCAGGCATACACGAAGACAGAACTCTGCATACATAATAAACAACTCTTTAAAAAAAAAAAAAGGGCTGGGTGGTGGCACACCTTTAACCCCAGGACTGGGGAGGCAGAGGCAGGTGGATATCTGTGAATTCGAGGCCAGCCTGGTCTTCAAAGAGAGTTCCAGATCAGTCTCCAAACCTACAGAGAAACCCTGTCTTGAAAAAACAAAAAACAAAACCAAATCAAAAAATTCTCAAAGGGCTGAATAGCTCAGAGCTATAGTACTTGCCTACCTAGCACGTACAAAGTCCTGGGTTAGTCACTATAGTGCTTAAATTCAGCTAGACATCTTGAGATACATCTCCAGCTATGCAAGATTCTAAATGAAGGATGGTTCAAGTCAGCCAACAGCCATATCTTCCTCCTAAGTGGTAGGAGGTCAAGACCTCTAGGTCTGCCCCAACTTTCTGTTTAGTTCTCGATGTCCAGGTACTGTCTCTGTAGACCACAGTAACTTCAAACTTAAGAGATTCCCCTGCCTCGGCCTCCCAGTGCTAGGATTGTAAGTCGTGTGCCACCACACCCATCTTGGCTGCCCATTCTTTAACTTCCAAAAAAATTACTGTGAAAAATGCTAAAAAAAAAAAAAAATTTTTTTTTAACTTGTCCTATCACCTTAAAAAAGGAACATTCAGCCAGAGAACAGTGGCACAAACTTTAATGCCATCACTCCAGAGGCAGGGGGATCTCTGTGAATTTGAAGCTAGCCAGGTTTACAGAGCAAGTTCAGGACTGCCAGAGAAACTCCCATCCCCACCACTTCTTGAAACAGTCTAAGTTGAGGGCTTATATTCAGCATGTACATGGCCCTTAGTTGAGTCCCTAGCATTGCAACAACCAACGACTCAGTAAGAAAAAGTATGTCTGGGGAAAGTAGGGGTGGTGGCAGAAAGAAACTCTTTCCTCCTTGGTTTTGTTTTGGTTTTTTGAGACAGGGGTTCTCTGTGTAGCTTTGGAGCCTGTACTGGAACTCGATTTGTAGACCCACCTCAAAAATTTAAATAGTGGATATGACCTTAAAAATTTTTAGGAGCAGCTGGGCGTTGGTGGCACACGCCTTTAATCCCAGCACTCCGGAGGCAGAGGCAGGCGGTTCTCTGTGAGTTCAAGGCCAGCCTGGTCTCCAGGGAGTGTGCCAGGATAGACTCCAAAACTACACAAAGAAACTCTGTCTCGGGGAAAAAAAAAAAAAAAATTAGGAGCAAGGGGAAAGAAAAAGCTGGGCTGTGGTGGTTGCAGGTCTTTAATCCCAGCACTCGGGAGGCAGAGGCAGTCACATCTTTGAGGCCAGGTTGGTCTAGAGTGAGCTCCAGGATAGCCAGGATTCTTCAAAGAGAAGAATTAAAAAATTCTTCTTAAAAAAACAAACAAAAAATTGTTTTCACTGGGCAGTGACAGCACACAACTTTAGTAACACCGCTCGGGAGATAGCAGCACGTGAATCTCTGATTTTGAAGCCAGCTTGATTTAGAGAGTAAGTTCCAGGACAGCCAGGGCTACTGAGAAACCGTGTATCCAAAACAAAAGTTTGTAGAGGAAGCCAGGTATACTGGCACATACCTTGAATCCCAGTACTTGGGAGGCAGAGACAGGTAGAACTCTGGGAATTAATTGTAAGCCAGCCTGGTCTACACAGTTGAGTTTCAGGACAACCACAGCAAAGTAAGTAAGGCCTAATCTTGAGGAAACAAAACAAAAAAGGGGTTACTGATATGGCTCAGTGGGTAAATGTGCTTGCCGTAAGCCTGAGAACTCCAGTTAGGTCTGGGAAACCCACAGTAGGAGGCAATGTCCCCAGAAAGTTTCCCTCTGATCTCCACACAAGACAAAAAAACAAATGAATTTCCTCAGATTTTACCAATTAGTGTTAGTAGCATATGCTACAGCCAGAAATTCATTTCCTGTTTCCTCTCACTAAAGATCATCTACAATGCTCAGGCTGGGCACAAACTGAAACTTAACTTTTGACACGTAGTGTGCATAACTACTGTATACAACAAAAAGAAAATTACACCTAGGGATATGCAAATCCAGCAGTATCAGAAATCAAAACTTACTAGCAATGAGTAAAAAACGTATTGTAAAATAAATCAGAGCATCTCTAAAACCTTCACTATATTTGTAGAATAGTAAGACTAAAGGCTGAAATAGCATAAAATTTGTTTAACTTTATAGCACGTATTCAAACAAACAAACATTTCTTTTATAGGTTTGCCATAAACTAGACCTGAAGGGAATGGGCATGTGATCAGGTATACAGAATGTTGGATGGGATCCCAAATTCAAGCCCAGTTATAGAGTAAAACAGGGTCCCAGACTGAACTCAAACTATGCATGTTGTTGGGGATGACTATAACTTCTGATTCTGTCCGTATTTCCTGAGTTCTGGGATTGAAAGTATTTGCCTTCACTCCAGGTCTATAAGGTCACAGACTTCGTGAATGCTAGGTAAGCACTTTGCTAATATGAAATAGCTGCATCAGTAGACAACTCAAAAGTAAAAAATGATTTCTTAATGCCACAAGCCAAGCTAAATGGTACAAAATATTCTCCAAGTTGCCAACTCCACACATTACAGACATAAAAAATAAGCTATCACTGCTGATGGATAGGTTTCCATTCATGTGCACAATGTTGTTCTTTATTTTTGTTTGCCTTTTGAGACAAGGTTTTGCAATTAGCCTTAACTAGCCTTCAACTCTCATCTAAACCAGGCTGGCAACTCAGAGGCAAACAAGCCTCTGCCTCCCAAGCGTTGGGATTAAAGGTACATACTACCATGCCTGGCCCTGTACACATTGTTTTTATAGTTGCTGTTAGATTAAAAAGAAAGGGGGGGGGATTAACAAAAGTGAATAATTAGTAACAGTTAAAATTGAATAAAATTGGCAAGGATTTTTTGTGCATGTTACTAAGGAGACTAAAATTTTAACCAACAATATACTTGAAATATCTTTGTAACACAACTGAGTTGGAGAGTTTGACAGACAATTACTAATAATTCTTTGTCACTGATTTTAAATCCAACTATCAAACATACCAAAAATCCCTTCCTGATTTTAAATAGTGACAAAACTAATTTTTCTAATGCTATTCTCAAATTCTATGAACATTTCTGAATATGAGCTTTTGCAACTTCTTTATTCACAGCATTTAAAACTAAGTTTAAACTAAAAAGCCTCATTTTTATTTATGTAACAAGAACAAGAAATCCACCAGGAGTAAACCGAGATCTTTAGTAGTTTTTAGAACACCAAATCTACACTCAAGAATAATTCGTTAAGCATGCACAAAATGTAATAGTGAATAAAAAGTCACAACTGACAAATATTTTGGTTAACATTCCAAACGTTTAACCATCCATTCAACATGGCCTATTTTTTTTTTTATTGGTATTCACTTCAGTAACTTGAATCCACAGATATAAGCAGTATATAACCAGAGAGTTACAAGTAAACATAGATTATACATGCAAAGTTCTGCTCACAAAGGTCACATGTGCAGGTACATGAATTAGAAGCGTGCGTATAGAATTATGTCCAAACTGTTTTTAAAAGGCAGAAATGTAAAATCACATCCTGAAAATATAGAGATGGTTCACACACTTCAAAAATCAAATGTTGCTTATACCAGAGATGTATGACAACTACAGGATTCAAGTGACAAGCAATAGGTTTTCAAGAAATTAATACTGGTCAAAGAGAACAGGAATATTTTTACATTTCACTGAAATAACATTTGACTACTAGAATACGAAACCTAGCAGGAACTCAGGGAAAAAAATTACAAATCTAAAGCCAATTACTTAATATTTCTTATCATCTAAACAGTGTGACATTAAAAGAAAACTGCACCTGCATTCCAATTGCCAATCTCACATGAATGAAGTTCTCTAAAAATGAAATGCAACCAAAACAGCTTCCGAAGTCAAATGAAAAGTCTGCAAGGCTCAGATTAAAATGTGGAATGTTTTAGATGAAAAGTAATAAAAAATACAATTGGTTTTGTTCTTTATTGAATGGAATCAAAAGTTGACATTTCTTTGAAGCCTCAAACTACTAAATTTCATTTTTCTGAATGGTTCTGTTATCTTTCTCTTAGTGGTGCAAGTTGTTTTTCATAGCTTATAACAGTCAATCTCTAGGAAGTACTTTTGTCTGTTGCCATTCTGATGAAACAAAAACTTTTTCATTAACTTAACCATATGTGTACTTTCTGCTATAACACTTAAACACATGAACAGACATCTATTATTTTTCCACTAAAACAAAAGAGTACAATAGTTTTCTAACTATCGGTATTGTATTTAAAAAAGGTTAACATTAAAATCAAAGAACCATTGTTTTCCTTGAAATAATTAAGCTTCTTGTACATCTTAAGTTTCCTTCTTCTGTCTCCGTTCTTCTGCCAATTTATTCAGAAATTTCTGAGGTGGGAACAAAAAAGAATTACAGGGACTAAGTAACTGACAAGACAACTAGTATATATATTAATTATAAAATAAAATATTCAGTCCAAGTTTAGGAATGTACACTAACATCTTAATATTTTATGCATGAGTTAACCTTAGCATAGAAAACTAAACTGGCTCAGGACACAACAATAAAGCATGAAAAAAAAAAGTGGCAATGTGGAAAATGGATATTTCAATGTGCAATTAACCCTAGCTTTTAGAAATGAGAAAACATAAGAACATGATCATATAAGGAAGAAATAGCTAGATTAGATCTTTGTTGTAACAATTTATTTCACTGACCTAAAAAGAGCCAAAGATAATACTCGAAAGACCATGGCTATGATTGGCTGTGCTGTAATAACACTTTATTTACAATAGTAGGTGGCTGGGCTACAAACTATGTAGTTTGGTGACCCTGCCACCTATGATCTCCAATGTACAGTATCTAGACACAGGTCTATTAAGACATTAGGGAATATTAAAGATATTTAAAAAGCATTTCTGTTTCTTCTGGTTAAAATATATCAGTACTGGTTACTGCAGACTAATGAGAGGGTTAAAAGCCATTATATCCTTAAAAAGAAAATGAAAACAAAGCAGCCAAAAAAAAAAAAAAAAAAAAGAAAGAAAGGAGAAAACACAAAACATCTAGTTAAGAAAGGTGTCAAAAGTTAATTATCATTTGAGCAACACAAACTCCCTAATACCCCTTTAATGCAGCTAATTTATCTTTTCTCTAAATACATAGTCATAAAGCACACCGTTCTAGGTAACACACATGGTTATGACCCTACATGGTCTAAATCCAAATAGAGAATTTCTAGTATGAATGAAGCAATACTCATCCTCCTCCCAAAATAAATTGCAGCCAGGACTGGTAATAACCACCATTCTTTTCTTATATCCATAATGGTAAGAGACGTGTAGGCTGTAATAAGTTACATTTGAAAGCAACACATATAAGCAATAACTAAAATTGCTTTCAAAATTCAAGGCTACCTTTATCCACGAGTCAACACATAAAATATGAGATAATTATTAGGTTTCTTGTTTGAAAAACTTGGGATTAGAAGTGTTAGCAACTTCAGATTTGGATGAGGCCCCATGAAACATAAGCCAAATAACAATTCTATTTGTTCTTACTGACTCACAACCAGGCCCTTATACATACTACCAAGAGCTCTACTGATCTGCATCTCTATCCTTGAGATAAATTAATGTTTTTTTCCTTTCCTGTGTAAATGGGTACACACATACTTAAGCCTATGTATGATTGACATCAGGAATCATCCTTGATTGCCCTTCAACCTTATTCATTGAAGCAGGGTCTCTCAATCAAACCCAGACCTCGCTGATAAAGCTGGTTTCACTAGCCAGCTTGCTCCATTTCCACCTTTAACAGAATTATAGTCCAAACCTCCTCGATCTGGCATTCTTGGGAGCAGTCCTCTTGATTTTACAGCAAGCAGATTTACCACTGAGCCATCTCCCAAGCCCTCCCAATATAACAACACAGTATTGTTAAGTATACCAGCATTGGGATTATAATTTATTACTTTTTTTTTTTTGGGGGGGGGGCACCTTGAGATAGGGTTTCTCTGTGGCTTTGGAGGCTGTGCTGGAACAAGCTCTTGTACACCAGGCTGGTCTTGAACTCACAGAGTGCTGGGATTAAAGGCGTTTGTCACCCGCCCGGTTTTATAACTTATTTTAATTCTTCCCAATTCACTACACAGCTCAGGATGGCATTGAGCTACTGATCCTCCTAATTCCATCTCACAAGTCTAAGAATTATGGGTATACATCACTAAATCTGGTGTTATTTGAGTGAAAAGAGGCTCAAAAGTTTGTAGAACCCGCAGGGCGTTGGCGGCGCACGCCTTTAATCCCAGCATTCGGGAGGCAGAGGCAGGAGGATCTCTGTGAGTTCAAGGCCAGCCTGGTCTCCAGAGCGAGTGCCAGGATAGGCTCCAAAGCTACACAGAGAAACCCTCTCTGGAAAAACAAAAACAAACAAACAAACAAACAAACAAAAAAGTTTGTAGAACCCATTAAATTCCTTGAAGTCCAGGAAATTAAAGAAAAATTTCTCTGAGATAATACATTATGATGGGTCCAAGGGCACACATACATTTTACTTATGTATCTCATTTATTTTCATAAACCATTAGTTTTCATAAATCTCCTGTTATATTCAGCCTTACCTTTAATTTCTGATAATGAGGAAGGCTGCTGCAATGAGTATTCTTTGCAACTTCTTCATTTGTATAAAAGAGTGAACACAGCTTACAGTAAAACCCTGTTTTAGGTATCACATAGTCTATACCTAGAAACACAAACATACATTCTTACAAATTAAGTAAACTTAAATTGTACATAGTAGTCTCAAATCTTTTTTCCTGTCAATAAAATTTGAATCAAACAACATATTTGTGAAAAGCTCAGTATGGCCTAAGCTAAAAACAATAGCATATTACTCTTTCTTTTTACTTAACTGATGTTCGAGGTCCTATCTATCTCTACTCTTAAAATGGAAGACAAGAATATAACAAACCCAAAGAAAAACAATGTGTAATTTTAGAAATCAGAATGAGAAGAGAACATAGTGGAATGGCAACATAATACAAAATTAGGAGACAGATGGAAGAGGAAAATAGAGCAATATGTCAGTGTTAAGTTCACAAATTAATGGGTGGAGAGAGACAGAAAATAACTTTACACACTATCTAAGCTTATATAAATAAGACTAACCTTCAAATCTTATTTTAACAAATTTGTTGGGAGAAAAGAGAGGGGAAGAAGAAAGTCTTTAATGCTCACCAACAGGAACATTAGGCTGATATGGTCCAATTCTATACTCATCTGGAATTGTATAGTCCTCCTTGTTTTCATCATTTTGGCCATCTGAATTTTCACTTGTGTCTTTGTTTGAATCATCAGCATTCTCAGCAGATTCAGCACCTGGTTCTGTATTTTCCTCATTTTTAATTCCATTTTCCAAGGCAGCTTCATTTTCTTGATCAAGTTCCTCCATCTTGTCCACCTAATTTCAAACAAACCATCATTTTAGCCAAGAGATTAAAATGTCACGACTGACTTACAAAGTTTTTGAAGTGTGGAATCTTCATCACCAACCTCATCTAGAGTAACAAAACCTTCCCTACTCCATGGGAAATGATGCTGTTAAGAAAAGCAAATTTGCTCTGCAAGAATAATCTTGCAGGATCCCTTTGATTTTTTCATACTTAAGGGAAAAGGATATTGTTTCTCTTTTTTTTTTTTTTTGAGACAGGCTCTTACTATTATATAGTCCTGCCAGAAACTAGATATCATAATCCCTCAGTTTCTCTTTCCTACTTGTCTTTGCATTTATTCATTATCTCAATATAGCTTTTTCTTGGGTTAAGAATGCAACTCACAGATGGTATACTTTCCTGGCACATATAAGCCCTAGACTCACTGACTTGAAAAAGAACTAAGTTTTTGTTTTTCTTTTAAGGAAACAGATTTACTGACTACACTAGAAGAAGCAGCAGGATGGCCAGTAGGAAGATTACAAGTTGTGGCCAATTTAGCTAATCATATAACGTTAAATAATGGGGGTTAGGGTTGTTACTCAGTGAAGAAGTGTTTTCTTTCAATGTGTTGCCTTTAGTTTGACCCCTAGAAAAACAAATCCACCAAGCTTCATCCACTAAAATCAACACTTCACTTTCATCTAAGAAAATATTAGATCAAAGTGTATTTGTATTCAGGCTGGAGATGGCACAGTGGTTAAGAGTTGTGACTGCCCTAGGCTTTGTTCTACAAGGGTTAAATCTAGGACAGCCTCCAAAGTCACAGAGAAACCCTGTCTTGAACCCCAGCACCCCCCTAAAAAAGGTGTGACTGCTCTTCTGGGAGAATCTGGGCTCAATTCCCAGAATCATGACAGCAGCTTACAACTGTCTGTAATTTCAGGTCCAGGGAATCTGATGCCCTCACACAGACATATGCAGTCAAAACACTAATGCACATAAAATAAAAATAATCATTAAAAAACAAAAAAGACTCAAAAAAGGCTTTTTAAAAAAGTACTTATATTCTGCTGAGGTTGTGACTCAGTGGTAGAGAGCCTGTTTAAGCTTTGTCAAGCACAAGGGTCTATACTCAGCACTCTTAAATAAAAATTTCTTATTTTATACTTTTTTAGACAAATGTGCTAAAAAATGAGTTAAAGAACTTACTTGCTTAAATTCACTGAGTAATGTTCTCTGAAATGACAATTTCTAACATACAACTTTCTTTTAGAGCAGCTTGAGATAGTGAAATGGTTTAACAATTTTGGAATAGATCAACAAGTTTTAAGCTATTGTTCTGACAAAGAGTTATGAACTAGGGCTGGGCGATGGTGGCGCTTGCCTTTAATCCGGGCACTTGGGAGGCAGAAGCAGGTGGATCTCTGTGAGTTCAAGGCCAGTCTGATTTACAGAGTGAGTTCCAGGACAGGCTCAAAGGAATACAGAGAAACCCTGTCTCAAAAAACAAAAACAGAGTCATAAACTAGGACAAGATACTAAAATTCTTCAAGTGTAATTTCTTAAATCTATATAGAATGGGGATAATAATAGCACCTACTAACTATAGTTACTGTAAGAACTAAAGAGAGCTTAGAAAAAAAATTACGAGTTCAAGTAAGTCATTAGGTCTTATAAGGGAAATATTACAATTATATTTTTTCTAGGCAGAAAAACTAAAACTTATGTGACCAAGTCATCAAAACCTAAATACTAGCTTGGGAATAGCAGAATCAATCAATAGAAATGACAGAAACTAATTTTTTGATACCTTAAAGGAAAAGAAGAATGACTGAAGGGGCTACAAAGACAGATATTATTCTTTTTGTTTGGTTTTTTGAGACAGAGTTTCTCTGTGTAGCCCTGGCTATCCTGGAACTCGCTCTGTAGACCAGACTTGTCCTCAAACTCAAAAGAGATCTGACTGCCTCTGCCTTGCTAGCGCTGGGATTAAAGGCAACATTTTAATATCTAACCTTGATGTGAGATAGTATTAAGGCATCTTTAGTTATTATTTTGTGCACACCAACATGAAGGCTAGAGGGCATTCTTGGTTGTCATTCCTATTGTTTTTGGTTAAGAAGGTTTCATGTACCTCATGGCTACTTCAAGCTCCTACACAAGTAAGGATGACCTTGAACTTCTGATTCCGCTTCCCTGTCTCTGAGAGCTGGGACCACAGATGTGTGCCACTATGTAGTTTGTGTGTAATGCTGGGGATTCTGAATGATAAGCAAACACTCTACAGTAGGTAACATCTCTAGCCTTCATTTTCTAATGAAATTCCCCTCAAGCCACTAAAAACTATCTAAACTCAATTTATTTTTCAAATAGGAAAAAAAATCTTTAAAAAAATGCTTTTACTAATTTTTTTGTAATGTGTATAGGTGTGTGCATTTGAGTTTCTGTGTATCATGTGCATACAGGTGCTTGAGGAGGCTAGAAGAGGGCAATAGATCCCTAGAACTAGAGTCAGATGTTTTAAGCTACCTGATGTATGTGAGAGGAACTGAACCTACATCTTCTGTAAAAACAGGATTGCAGAGCTGGGGAGATGGCTCAGAGCTTAAGAGCACTGGTTGCTCTTCCAGAGGTCCTGAGTTCAATTCCCAGTAAACACATGGTGGCTCACAACCATCTGTAATGAGATCTGGTGCCCTCTTCTGGGGTGCAGGGATATATGCAGACAGAACATTCCATGCTTAATAAATAAATCTTAAACAAAACCAACAAAAAACCTCATGGTCCACTCTCAAGACTTCATGAGTTGAACATAAAAAAAAAAACAAAAAAAAAAAAACAA